AGGCCCATCGTGGCAGCGACATTGATCCAACGCCAGGTGTTGCCTCCGGCATCTCCATCACGAAGAGTCCAGCCCTCATTATCGCTAGCAGAGAAGTGCTGTAATAGCAGACTGGTGTAGACGGCAATCAGGATAGAGGGCGAAAACCAAGACAAAACACCAAGGAGTCGGTTCGCTTCATCCGAGTCATCTAGTGATGGGTCTTCCATAAGTGCGCTAGCACCAGATTCCCGTACCGCAGGAATGATGCGGGTCGCACAGTAGAACACTATTATTCGGTAGGTCAAAGAGATCATCACTGAGGGCGCAATGGTCTGGAATGCGGCATGAAGAAAACTCAGTGACGAGTACACAGCCGATGGTAATGACCCGAGTAGGTGGAGGAAAGTCGAGTAGCTTGCCATGATGATAGGTGGCAGAGGCGGAAATTCTGGTTGATTGGCAGCCTGTTCGAGAGCGGCTGCTTGGGCTTCAGGTGATTGGTTGTAGTCTGTAAATATCTGGTAGACGCAGAGGACGACGTAGGCGAAGAGGAATGAGGATTCGACAGGATTTCCACGGCCGGTACCGATGCCGATGGCGCACAGAAAAACGGCGGACGTGACAGTCACGCCTATCAGGGTCGCATCGACGTTGCTGATGGTCGGGAAGAGAGTGACCCTCCAGAGGAAATACGTGGCGCTTGCGATGATAGAGGCGGAGAGCATCAGGAGGATGAGCTAGGAGGTGACGATCAGCAACATTGTTTCCGGGGGGAGAGTGGAAGTGCGACTTACGACCCACGTATCGCTTCGGCCTCTGTTCACAAGCCATTTGGAGATTTGGCCGGCAGCTTGGATGACGAGGAGAGTGCAGAACCCCTCAGCTAACTGAAAGATGGGGCTAGAATAGCTCAGGGTCTTGTCCCATCCACCGAGAGTGACAGATTCAACAAGGCCTCCATTCCCGAAGATCCAGTCGGCCCAGCTGGTGTGCTTCCGGTGGCCTAGTCTATCTATAGTCCTCGACACCCAGTCGGTGCTGCTTGCATCGACGGCGAAGTTGTGAAGCGACCAGATGAGGAGAGTGGGTATGACCACCCACTGCGAGGCCTGCAGCAGCGTTGTCAGGGTCCGCCGTACGTGGGAGTTGTCGGGGGTCGCGAGCTTGGCGGTGCTGTAGACGAGGTAGAAGCCGAACAGCGCGAGGCTGTAGGCCAGGCCGGTGTCGCGTCCGCCTACATCGAAGGAGATGGGGATGGAGAGGATGATAGTCAAGAGAAAGATGAAACTCGAGACGATGCGAAAGAACCACCACATGGGCGCGGATATGGTGGCTGGTGCCGCGCCGACGTAACGAGGCGGCTTGCCAGGGCGATGATAGGCTATTTTAATATAAGGGGAGCGTCGTAGCGAGGCTGGCTCTTTCTTTTTCTTTTAGATGGACGAGGGCGGGTTAGGATTGGAGACGACGGCGATGGCGTTGAGGGGACGCTCGAGGTTGAGGCATACGCGTCGACGTCGTTGAGGACTTTGGTTGGTTAGGTAGTATTAGGTATGGCGATCGCTGGTGATGGTGATGTCGTAATGGTAGGTAGGGAGGGAGGTCGGCGGTGGGTAGGTTGTGACCAAGGTAGTAGGTACTGTGTATAGTATGTATACAGTAGTAGGTATAGTAGGTATAGTAGAGGTAGGTAGGTAGGGTAGGTTGGGGGGTGGGTAATGGCGCGGTCGAGGTGGGATGTCGGAAATTTCGAAGACAATGTAGGTAGGTACTTTCTTTACACAGGGTTTGTAGGCGGGCCGAGAAAAAGGTGAGCTACAGTCAGACGACTGCGCTTAAGACAACCCAACCCAAAGTCAAATGACAACTTTATCACGGTATTCAATCCGAGTCCCTCGAATTCTACCTGCCCGCCTGGCTAACAGATGGGTAGGTGGTAAGTACCTAAAGGCAGGTAAAGGTTCAAGTTTAGTTAGGTCAACCTTCTTGGAACCTTGGAAAGCTTAGGTACCTTAGGCAGGTTAGGTTAGGTAGGGTAAGGTAGGTAATTGGAATGATGTATGTGGCACCTTAGTAGTCGAAGCGATGTTGCCAGGTGGCTTGTCTATCGTCTATCCGCCGATACGGGGGTGTGTTCACAAGCAATCAGAAGCATCTGCTACACTTGCCAGCTGGCAGACACTTGGTTAGTGGGGGATGAAAATAAAAGTAGGTGTTTGCTATTTATTGTACAAGTGTCCGGCGTGAAAAGCTACAAGTGAATTAAAGTTGAATGCTGGGACAATTCACACGTGCACAAAAAAAGGGGAAAAAAACGTTCATCCTGTGATAAGGATATTTTTTTTGGACTAGGGTATTCAAAGCCCGCTGAGTAAAAGAGCTGCAGGTGGAGCTGATTTCTCTTGTCCACAGCTGCGAAGCTTGGTGGTGTCTTATCAATGGTTGCGCCTGCATGGCGAATCTGGCATCATCAGCCTAAGCTGGATAACACCGGTACAAGCAGACACCGAGCTGATTGATAGGTAGCTGGTGTAAATGTAGGGCCCACTGAAACTCGATACAGTAGCCCCTCAATATGCCCCTCCACTCGAAGTCATTCTTGACGCAATGTTGTAAGTTGCCAAGAAAAAAGTTGCTATCGGGAGAAGTAAAACACTATCATAATATGCGAAGTAGATGGCTAAGTACAAATATATTTCATCTAAAAAGAGAGAGGGGGCAGATATCTCGTTTTATGGGTTACACTCTTAATCTCTGAAATATGTGATATGAGTGAGGTACGGTGAAGAGTGATGTCTATAAGAATTCCTGAGTGAACTGGATGTCTCTCTAACTGTATGTGCCAAGGTGTTCCATCTCTCTTGCACATCAAAACCACGTTCGCCCGCCATAACAATGTCAACTTATCTATACATCATCTTATGACGCCCCTATTTATATTATAGCTATATGATATCAATTATCATTCTATGCATGTTGAAAAACATTCGACAACTTTCACAAGCTTTACCAAGCAGTCGGGTAATCATTCATCTGAAATCGTAGTCCATTGACCCAGATCTCATCAAATGAACCACCGCAGTCATCTTACAACTCGACCCAAAAACTCGAATAGAAAAACTTCCCAAGTCACCGAACAGTATCGGTCAAAACTGCATAAATCAACATGTCATTCCAGTTCGTAGACCAATCCGGCATTATAAACAACAGCCAGAGAAAACTCATCCGAAGCCATGTAATGAAAGGGAAGAACACAGGCAAGAAAAGATCAAAAAGAGAACAGCAACAACAGGAACAACACATCGCATCGACAGCAGCAAATAAGTCTATCGTACTCCGTCGAGGAGAAATCAACAACTTGGACGAGTCAGCTTCGACTACACACTCACAGCGCGGGAGCTCCATCCTCGCCGTGACCCGTCAAATCGCGAATGACCCGAGTCTCCTGTCCTCGACGAAAGGAATCGCTCCTCAGACTATGTTTCACCTTCGGCAAAGTAAGATACCCACCCGACAGTCTATACAATGATAAAACAACTGGATTAACTGATTTCACATTACTCAAGTGTCTTCTTATATCCTCGACGTGACCTCTCCTCCCGAATTCTGTCAGTCCACTGGTGTCACAGAATGGATATGGTTCCAACTAGCATTCTACAACAAAGCGTGTAAGTCCCCTCTCCCCCTTTCCCTTCCTCCTTTTCACTCACCCAACTCACTCCACACTAACTCCCAACTCCAGATTTCCACTGCACAGTAGCCATAGCCTCCGCCTGCGCCGCCTTCCTAACAGGAGACACATCCCACTCCCCAGTAGCACTATGCCACATGTCCGAAGCATATCGTCTCCTAAACAAGACGCTTTCAAGCAATGAGCCACTATCTGACGCCACTATCGCCGTAGTAGCTGCTATCAATATCTACGATAGACTGTATGGCGATCCCCAGAAAGCCATGGTTCATCTTGAGGGACTGGCGGGGTTGGTCGTGTCACGAGGGGGTATTGCTGAGCTCGCGAGGAGGAATTTCGTGGTTGCCGAAAAGGCGCTGAGGTATGTATGTCTGAGCTTTTCCTTAATGTAGATATGGAAAGTGGCTGGCCGGCTGGCTCACTGACGTTGTTTGGAGATCTGATATCGAGCTCGCGCTGTCATGCGGCTCAACCCCGAAATTCTCCTCAGAGGACGTCCCTCGGCATCTCATCCTCATACACCCCAGACCTCCAAAATCCGGCGAGGCAGAGCTAGCAGAAGAGTCCATCCTGCACCGCGCAGTAAGTGCACACCTCAGCGAAGTAGTCCTTGAAATCCTTCACTTCTCAAACCTGCTCGACCGCGCAAGCCGTGAGGAAAAGCTCGATTCGATGACATACCAGTGCACGCTCCTATACATAGGCTACCGACTCCTGGAGACCAAACCTGCCCATTCCAACTCTGAAGCAATTAAAAGTCGAACTCTGGACAGCTTGGTCCTTTCAGCACTCACCGGCTTCCAGAACACATTCTGTTTCGGCATCGGCCGCAAACTCATGGCTTTTCCCCGCGTGATAGATCGCTTTCGATCCGTCTCGCAGAACATCCGCGCAGACACTCAATCTCAACAGATGGTTGTTCTCTGGTCATTACTCATGGGGAGAGTCTCAGCGCTCGTGCAAGACGAGGATGATGAATGGCTTATCCCGAAGATGAAATCGCTTGCTGATGTGATGGGGCTTCGTGCTTGGGTTGATGTCAGTGGTCTCCTTGTTGGGTTTCCTTGGGTCAGGGTCGCGCACGAAATACAGGGGAGGGAATTCTGGGACGCGAAAATTGCGCGATTATCTAGATCTCTTGAATCAGCATAGACTAGCTAGTGATCTTCGTATTTTAACCCAGTGTTTATTTGCTGTTAAAGGTTACTGAAGGTTACTCACATGTTTGACCTCCTACTGTAGGTTTCTTTGAATCTGCGCAGAGTGCGTTATAAAGCTGTCCGAAAGCAAAAATAATCACGCTGTACGACATCCTCGGTGCTGTTTCGGCTCAATGGTCTAGTGGTATGATTCCTGCTTCGGGCGTTACCTGAAGTCACCCTTCCATCCTACATGGGAATGCAGGAGGCCCCGGGTTCGAATCCCGGTTGAGCCCAACCTTTTGTTTGTTTGTTTTATATTTTCATTTTTTATCGGCTATTATGTAGGTGAATGTCGTTCATGCCCAAGCCAAGCGCGGAGATAAGTGAATAACAAAGACACTCACTCACCATCATACAAAATCAATCCCTCCCTCCCCTATTTTATTCACCCATCAATGCGTGTTGAGTCGGCATTTAAGTTCGGTCGGTATAGATGATGTTGACTTAGAATAATACTCTTCTTGATCTATCGCTACATACCTATTCAGCAGTACATGACAGACACGTCGCAAAAGCCAGCAGGCGTAGAAGCAAAACCCTACTTCACTAGTTAACCTCCAAACCTACCGCGAGTAACAGCTCAGAAGTGTAGATACAACACATACATCATTCAATCAGTCCTCAACAAGACAGCTACATATATACACACATACCTCTTGGTTTTAGCGTCTGCTTGCTGTTTTCAGAATAGGGCCGGAACTCTCGAGCGGCTCGCAGAAATGTAAAACATGCCCGGTTATCGACCATCTCCAGGCATTTGCCGCAGCTCATCACTAACGAATTAGTTGTAATCCTCGAATCTCAATTACTGGCGACAATCCGAAATAGCGATAAACCGAAGTAATATAGGAGCTTCGACTACCTATACAGCGTGAATATATACCCTCCAGGTTTCGTCACGGATGGCACGATCCGCTTCGCCGGAGACCGGATCGTTGTGCCGCACCAGGGGAATTCGGACTCGAGTTGACAAATGTGTCACAGTAAATCCAAATATCCGGGATATTCGGGGCAGACTCAGTCTCTCCAGCAGCAGATAGAGGACTCGCTAATCCAAGAAAAGCTAAGGTAGTTAGTCAGTCAGTTGTGTTGCCAATCACCTATTCTCAGCTCCTTACTTGCTTGTGAAGCTGGCGAGACTTATTTCCTTCTTTATCCCGATTTCCAAATGAAACAGGGAGTGTTCGTCTTCTCTCGAGCTGAGGTATGAAATAAGAATGCGAGAAGCATAATCTTTCATATGATGTGTCATTACCTTCAGGCATGTCTAGATCTGGATTAGGCTGGGCGGTTCGGACTTCCTCTGTGGCATCTTTGTTGTCATAACATCTTCCAACGATGTTAACTTAGTACTCGGTGCTCTATCCTTGCAGCCCGTAAAACATATTCAAGGGAGTACCCCAGTAACACGTTTCTTTTCGGGGACACCTCTCTGTCTGACATATGGTGACACTGTGAAGCTGAACACGTGTGCTCCGAGTCTGTACTTGCGAGCGAATGAGACGTCACAATAGCTGCTAAGATGCCACGGCCTTAACTGCTGACATCGTTGTCATCGCGGCCCAGCAGTGAAAGATAGGCCGGGATAGGAGAGATCCCCGCCAACAACCGAAGGCATGCCGCGTTCCTACCGAATGAGTCAGGCTCACGATGGAAAGCAAGGCTAACTGAGAAATCTGATTGGGAAGTCTCCCGATTCGACTATTTCTGCAGAGAAAATATACACAGTAACCAGAGAAGCATGACCTCGAAATTTTGCTTCCGTCAGATTGTGTAGGTCTGGGGAAGAAGCACGGACACTTCCAAGGAGCTGTGCTTCCAATCCTGTCGATAGTCCGTCTTAAATCCATGATATGTAATACCGAGATGTCGCACGAGGGTAGGTATTGGTGCAAGAAAACTATGCGTCCATCAGTTTTAAGCCCGCGCAATGTGGTTTTGTGACGGCCCGATGACTACTTCACCTCAGAAGGGCTTCCTTACGAATGTACCCATATTGGCATAACCATATCACCATGGAACGCTGACGTGGGCCGTCGATCGTACAGGGGTAATCGACAAGAGTATTCACGCATCGGCCCGTTCGTTGAGGTTATCGCCAATATCAGGGCCACAAGTCAGGCCGTAAGCTACGTGGTTTAACGCCGGCACGTTCGGCTTCTGCAAATTTGAAAAAAAAAATCAGCATATTGTCAGTGTTGGTTTCAAACCTGACTCAGCAGATGCCACTGTTGTAAAGCTTGCCGCTATCGCGGTACATAGAGGAGTCAACACTGACCACCTGATACGCTGGAGAGCGGTGAACTGTTCTTTTTTCCCAGTTAAAGTTCATTCTTGTGATGAAAGAGAGTTAGTTCTTTTGTGTATTAGTCAGCTGCAGATTTTATCATCGCAGTGGTCAGAGAGTAAGTCAGTGTCAGGCTGTTATCGAAAGACAGGTAGAGTAGGATGATATAAGCAGAACGGCCTATTGAATGAACGTAAATTGTAGAGAAAAACTGCTCACATACCATCAACGGAAAGACGGTACAACGAAACGCTCGATATCGAAAGTCACTGTTACGCTGACGGCTTCAGCTATCCGTGCTCATCGCTCTCTGAATGTCAGAAGTGGGTAGAGCAGGATGGACTACAAGCCATGTGGAGTAGCTGCTGGTTTATTGATCAGGCTATCACCATTCTTTGGCATGAGGGGTAGCTAGTATTCACATATGAGCCCCGTTCTTAGGAAGCATGCTCTTCCATGGCCTGTTCTTATTTTGTTAAGATGGCCAGCATGTGGATGTGGCCATGTGGACCTTTTCATTTTGTCTGTGTTGCATGCGTAGGAAGCACAGTGTTAGGAAAGAGTAGAAAGAAGAAAGAAGAGCAAGTATCATTTGTCATGAATGTAGACAACTCGCGCGACGAGGTTGGGTTACATTATCTACTAGCCGTATGATACAGCAAAGGACATGCTCATGTGCCAATTGCCCTTGGATAGCGGCGGGCAAACACAGCCCTAGCGTGCGTTTGTCGGCCAAAATGTTTTATAGATTGGTTGTTAATCAGTTCTCTGGGAGTTGGGAATTTGCATCGCGACAAGAAACAAACGTGGATGATGTGGATCGCAAAGTGCTAGGAAGGTCTCAACAGCGCGACGAAGTGTTACCTGGTCGGTGTCCGTTTTGAACACGTTGATTTGACTGGACGAAGCGATAGCGTGATCTGCATGTTACAAATTTATCAACAAGGGGTGGCTGGGGCTTAGATCTCATAGGGCTGAAAGGGCACCCTAGTGCGAGACGATCATTGGCGAGCTATCACTGTTACGGTGCCATCTCGCATGCGTCAGCGCACTCGAAGATAACGGCCGTGGAGCCACGTCATGTCGGTCAGCGTTGGGGGCGCCAATAACAACGGTGACCACAGGCAATAAGCGACCGGCTATTGTTGACGAATCCAGGAATACCCAGGACCAATGTGCTGAAAGAAGGTCGGCAGCTAATGATATCTCGTCCCAGCGTCCTGGTGACGCTCGTATTAATCAGGTCGTTTAATAGAGTTGCCTTGGCACTACCCAATACCCAGCTAAGGGACAGTTGGTGGTAGTATTGCAGGTAGATCAATTGTAATTCGTGACCAGTTATGTTGGCTGTCAGAGGAGGGGTTTAATTCAAGGAATTAGCTTCATCCCACCCCATTAGCTGATAGTTGGCAATAGTCAATGGAAATCTCTGATAGTTCAAGACTGACGAAAGAGACCTCGAGCCAGCTATTGGAGGAGACACTGGGGCGCAGTCGTGAAGATCTGACTAACGAAGAGCCGAGAGACCCTCTCGGGCGCCCTCAACAGCTGACAAGCTTCCTCCTTTGGCGCTGTCCGGGCAATTGAGCTCCTCATTCACCGGAAGGATGGGGATTGTCAATAAACCGCACTGCGTACACGTCCTAAGTGACGAACACAGGTGAAGCTAGGATAGACCAATGATAAGGATCGCCAAGAAAGCATGTTATGGGCAGAATTATGGGCTACTGAGTAGGTCTTTGGTACCGTGCCCCATGATTTGTATGCATGGCGTCTGCCCTAAGATCCACACGCCTAGATGCGAGATGATGCGGTTGGCGTCCCATACCCGGACTGACTACCGGTGCCGGCTCTTGTGCAACACGCCCGTAGCCCGATATGCACATATGGGTGATGGCTGGAAGCGGGCAAGGCTATGTCTCGGTTTCCAGCATACCTATGTATTGGTACTGGATATGTTGCGGTCTGACGTTGCACGAACGTTCACTACTACCAAAAAAAAAAAAACAAAAAAAAAAAAAGAATCAGGACTATTTTTTCCCCATTCAGCCCCCAATTTGGTCGCCGCCATGTCGTCACTAGCTGGTTCTGTTCTTCAACTGGTTGACAGGCATCGACACTCTGAACGAGAGGCGATGAGGCGAACATGGGTCTTGATCTCGCCTATCCATAAAGTGTTGCCCCATGTTGCGCAGCGAGTAAGACGTGAGGCGAGATTTCGATTTATTGGCCTCAGCTGCTTACAAAATATGTGACATATGCTTGATATGATTGCCGGTAAATCTCGGTCTGTGTCCCGGGGTCGGGGATAATTTCAGTGCTGGTACCTCCTGTCAGCCGGAGGACCCCAGGACTGCGCTGCTTAAGTAGATAAAAGGTGTGTGCCGCCGACCAGGACTCCCAAGGTAGGTAGGTATGCGACGTGGGCGGCTAACCAACGTCGTACCGCAGCTTTTGCGACTCCTCATCCGCCGTGGCGCTCTGGCTGGGCACGCGGGACAGGGGAACGCAAGGCCGAGAAGAGGCCATGAGGTGGGACATGACCTGACGGGCAACGATTAGATTACTTGTGCTGTGCGTATGTCATGTCATAGTTGTTTGGTGACTGGTCTTTTTTGCCTGGCTTGCCTCGTGCGATATTTGTAGCGTTCGGCTGTAGGGAAAGGTCTCATGCGGGCGCATATGCATTATCACATCGGCTTTGCCTGTCCTAGAAGCTGGGGAAGATACCATCGACACCCTGTTATCCAGGCTGAACCGGAAATATCTGACATATTTTCATCCTATGCATGCGGGACATGCACAAATGCGCACAGGGGAAATGGTGTAATAGAAGTGATGGTGCGGAGACCGTCGGACTACCATTTACCAGGCATGTAAGTACCGAAGGTACCTAGGCTTCATGTTAGCAGATTCTGCATGTGTCCTACGACTTCCTCCTCAATA